TGAAGCATGTCTTGGGCCTTGATATACCTTCTCTTGAGACGATCGAGCAGAACGAAAGGTGTAAGTGGGAGGTTAATGAGACGATGAACGTGATTGAGCGCGGGCTGCTAGATATCCTTGAGGAATTAGCATCATGGAGGAAAGGTCCGGTGAAGCATCCAACATCGGAGAGTGAGAATTTCGTCAAGCATGGTGTGGTGAGATTTGTGGCTCCCTTGAGGCCACCTCGGAAGCCGCCATGGATCCTGTGATGAAAGAGAGCAATAAGTTGGGCCAACGACAAAAAAAGAGGCGCTTGTTGGGTGGCAACCCAATGGTGTGCGTGATTCGGCGACTTCTTCCTCATTGACTAAGGTGAACTCGTTTCTTTTACCTCTATTTTGTGATTATTGGTGTCGATGATATATGCAAACTCTAAGTTTGGGGAGGGTATTTCTTTGTGAGCATTCATGTTTTATTATGTGATTATATTTTTGCCCCTTAGAGTTTGAGTCTTAGATTGGTATTTGTTTGTCTTGTTTGAGCATGAGATTGCATGTACGTGGAATTTTGCGATGATGACATGAGAGTCGGTTTGGATTTATTGTGCTAGTTTAAATGGCTTGAGTTAATTTTATTTGGTTAAATTCTTAAGGTGTTTTTATTTTGGGGACAAAGACATGATGGTTGATATTTTTGTGACTTATTGTGGTGAGTTAGTTTTGAGGTGATTTGTGTTATTGAGATGTGTTTGTGATTGCTTTAGTCAATGTTGATTAAGTTTGGGGACTTGAAGTTGAAAGTTGAGGTTTCTATGTCTCATAGTCGAAAAAAAAAAGAATAATGAGGAAGGAGGAATAGTTGATGGAGTTGAAAAGCCGTTTGGCACAAAAAAAAAGAAAAGATGGAATCATGGGCTGCAACAGCTGCCAATCCGTGGGGGCCCTAGTGCACAAATCCAATAATTTTCGTATCTAGACGAGCACGAAAGGCTAAAACCCTCGGGTTGTGACGAAGCTGCCGTTCCCTAATTCCGAAAAAAAAGAGAGAAAAAAAAGAAGATAAAAGTGTGGAGAATGGGACATTTAGACTTCGATTAGAAACGGAAAGAAACTGGACTTGTTAGCAAAGAGAGGGGTGTTATGAGTTGCATTGATCGGTACATTCGTTATAAAGATTGACAAACTATAGTTGGTCACTTGGATTGATACTTGATGTGTTTGCGTTCCTAGAATGATTTCATCTTGAGTCCGGATAAATTAATTTGAGTTGTTTGAACTATGCACTTATGTGAGAATTGTGAGGCTTTGAGTAAAGTTCCACGTACTTGTTGGTCCATCTTTGTGCATATAGTTATAAGTTGCTTGAGGACAAGCAACGGTTTAAGTTTGGGGAGATTTGATTGGTCGGGAAAAGTGTATGTTTTATATATTTATTAGCGTATTTTATATGCTTGATTTTATCGCACTTATATATTTTCTGACTTATTTATTTATTAGATGGATTTGAGTGCTATGATATTTTTATGTTTTATTTTTAGGATACTGGAGTAATTTTGTAGATGGCGAATCCGTGAGCGATGGTTAAAAATGGGCAATAAGGTGCTAGATTTATGAGGAGTTGAACAAATTTCACTAATTAATTCACTTCATTTGGG